AATGAGAATGAGATAAAATGATATAATGAGATATGAGATAAAAAGTTGCAATTACCATTTTTACCATCAAACGAATTAATTATTTTGAGCATTAGGGTTTACATTGCTTTTTGTTATATGAAACAAAGTTATTATAATAGGAGGACTACTGCTAAGTTTCTATTGTTTAATCCTATACTGTGATAAAAGCTTTAGCAATTATTGTGATATGAAAAATTGGTAACGTCTCATGCCTAGTTGCTAGGGCATTGTTGGATACTTACAGGCCCAAGTTGATAGAGCCCATTGATATTCTGGTCCCTAGATATATCTCATCTGATCATAAAGAAAAGTAATAATGCACTTCTCCCTATAAGCAATCTACATGATTTGAAGTATTGTGATTGTCCGCAGCACAAACGCAGTCATCATTTCACAATTAATTGCAGGCTACACACTAATCAAGCAACTGTTCCAGTTTGTTTGTAACCAGGGCAGCAACAGATGAGTCAGACCGAAGCGGTTTGTGTTTTTGGTAACCACAAGTATTTTTCCTGCCAACATGTGCAAGCTTGTGTGTCCCGTCCCAGACGGCGATTGGTTGTGAATGATATTCCCTGCCGACGTTATAAGCAGTCCTCGCTCGCAGCTGCAGGGATAAACCAAGGTCTAGAGAGGTCACGATTGTGCTCTCTAAGAAATGAGGTCACGATTTCATACCCCTTCCTGTCCTGTTCACACATTTTACAGAATGTTTATTAATCTTGTCAAATAGATTTAGTTTAATATTGAATAAGCCTAATACAGGATTGACAGAAGTGTGTTATGTACTGTTGACATTCAGTAATCTTACAGGGACTAGCTAGATATGCAGCCGCTCTAAAACGTCTGAACGTTTGTCTAAAGTCGACAGGAAGTTCAGGTGCAATATCGCCTTGCGTATGTATTCATTTTTGAGGAAGTTGGCAGAGCCATGACGGTTGGTGTAGTCTTGTGTGCGGTGTATAACCACATGTGCTCATCTCACCAGTTCCAGGCCTGTGATATGAACGTGTTCACCGAAGCATGAACGTTATCTTTGAATCACACGCAAGGCTCTATTTGGACTTTACCCTGATCTAATTGATTGATTTGATTTGATTCATTGATTCATTCGATTCTTTCATTTTTAACATTCGTTCACATCAAGTTCAATTATGTCTGAATTGTATGGAAGTACTGGAAAATTGTAAATGCTTCAAGTAAATTTAGGCAGCACCACATTATAATATACAGTATGAAAAAGATCTTTAAACGTCGTAACTGTTGTTAATTAAGTGTTAAGTCACAATAGTTCTAAAAACAGTTTGACCCATTGTTGCTGCAATAAAAAAGTTGAGAAAATCGAAATGAAACCCCAAAAATGAAAAGTCTTGAAAATAGTTTTATCTTCTGGTATAAGTTGACATGATCAGTTAAGTGTGGGTGATTCATGAGGAAGCCTGGGAGTTTTATGAGGAAAATGTCTGAAACTGAGCACATTGTTCCATTGAAATGCTTCTTTTACCCTTGTTCGTATTTTAGTCATAATAAAAGTGATTGTGCTTACTATGTTTTGCTTTCTCTATCCAGTATTCTGCTTCGTTTCGATAATAGAATAAAACCAATGAAATCTGAGCTGCACCTACATCTGTCCGTACTCCGTATCTCTAAATCCAGCGGCCTTGATCGGTCACTGTGACCCAGCAAAGTCCTAAACTCCATGTCTCGTTTTATACAATACCACTGTTAGATTTTTACTGCCGCCTTCTGGATAATTTTATCCCAGTTTTTCTTTAAGGATTGGTAGAATATCCTGCCCTAAATCAAAGCAGATACACTACTGTTCAAAAGTTTTGGGTCAGATTAAAAAAAAAAAGTTTTTGAAGGAAGTCTCTTATGCTCAGTGCTCACCAAGCCTGTATTTTTTATTAATCAAAATCAACAATTATATTATGGGAAATATTATTAGAATTGAAAAAAGGCTGTTTTAATGTATTTAAAAAATATATATATAATTTAACAATTACAATTATTAACAATTAACAACATCAAACTTTTAAATGGTAGGGCAGGTAGCTTTTTTCCATGAAAACAATTTCTTCATGTCTTAAATGTAACCCTGCACCCTTATCTCATTGAGTATACGCAGACCTATGAATATGATAATTAGCACCAGATCAGACCTGCTCTACTTTCACTCAGTTAACTTAGTTAAATGTTACACAGTGGCAATATTGGGTCAACGGTTATCAGTCATTCATTGTCTTTAAGCATATTAAAAACCCCAGAAAGACATGTAAACAACATTTAAAAACTTGATTTCACCACTGGGCGTCTTTAAAAATGTCTGTTTTATTCGTCTCACTTATTTGTATCACAGTTAATCGTCTGCCAAAATGTAATGTTTGTGAAAGCCCCAGGAGGCAGGGAAGGACTCGTTGAAGCGCTACATTAGCCAAGGACCCCTGATTTATATAGTCAATGAAAAATTCCTTTTAATTATTTCCCTTTCACAACGGATGTCATTCTTTCGTGCCTTCTGGCACGCGTTTTCTTTAATGTAATATTGACAGCATAGTCCACTTTCAGGAGGAGTTGAGGCATGTTTCATCTGTTTGATCTGACAGACCCAATGTTTTCCAGGGAGGCACTGGGGCTCTGTGAAAACCACCCCTTAAAACTCGAGAAATGTTTTTTTTCAGTTTCCATGTCAACATTTTTGTATTCTATCACCCACCAAAATAAACTTCCTCCCATAATAAATCAACCCACACAGAAAAGTTATTCTTCACTGAGACTTAAATAACTCCCACAAACCCACTCATGATGTTTCCTGACAGAATAATAAATAAGCTCTGGCTCATGCACTTTATGATTATCTTGACATTGAATAATCTGATGTTAGAAGAGAAAATGGTTGCCTGTCTTCCTAATGACCCCATAAACTCATCCACAGGGTTTCCTCACCAGCATGCTTAATGTTGTAGTAAGATCCCAATGTCAGGATCTTACTACAAAGCAAAGTGCAGTGCAGCGCATGTTTAACTTTACAAACTTGAGTGCAAAATTTGACAGCTTGAAAACAGAGCGAACTGATTCTTGTGTGTCAGCTTGTCTTGTTGTTTTTCTAGAAACGCTAGGGTGAATTCTGACACTTGACTAGCGCTTGCTTTGTGACAGATGCTCCTTGTTGTGTGTTGTGTAAATGTAGAGGTTTTCTTGATGGTTCTGACTTACGATGGTTTCTAGCTCAAGCCAGCTTCCGTGGTGTCGATTAGCTTCCAACGACCAGTCAGGGTTTCTCTGGATCTCAACTCTGTGTTGCTAGGTAACAGATATTTTTATCCAGGCTTAATTTTCATGTTAGAATGTAATCTGCTATGATGGTATCTTAAATTTAAAAATGTAAATTTAATATCCTGTTCTTGTTCAATCACTTTTTGTCAAAACCTGTGGCATGAGCAAAAAATATAATATATATATTTCTTTTGTTTCTTTCAGGAAAAGAGGAATAGAAGTTGTTCAGGTAAGTGGATCTCACCTTAATTCAATTTGTTTCAGATGTTTATCTAATGTGTGAAATCACAAGCATTCTTCTGGAGTCCAGAAAATTCTTTAGTAAAGATTTCCTGTGCTGTGTTTCAGTCAACTCAGAAAGTTGAAATTTCCAACCTCTTTGGAAATGTGCATGACAACTTGGTTTGAAGTTGCAAAAGTTAATGATGGATATTCAGTTCTACACAAATAAAATCCATCAATGTCTTGAAGTTCCTACATTACACAATGATTGAACCTGTTTCGCAATCTGTTCCAGAGACAGGTGCGTAACGATAAACGATCCTCTCAGTTGATCATCATAGACCAGCAAAACAAATGCTGGATGTACGTAACATAATTTATCCAGTGCAGTTTGGTTGCCAGGGGATTTTGTTGTTGACCAAACACCTGCAAAGCTAATGGTAGCTGTTTTGTTTCTTGTTTCTTTGAACATAAAACTTTATGCAACTTCTCTGATTGGTGGATCTTGCTACAGGGTTATGGGTAGTGTAGTACAGCAGTTGTGTAGTGCAACAGTTGGGTTCTGGATTTAAAAATCCCATGCATTTTCTCCATGGGAGAATTGATTTTTAACAATAACTCAAACCTAAAAAGACAGACCAACTGGGAGCTTCAAGGTCGTTAATTGAAGCAAATCGCACCAAAATAACTCTTTAGCATCCTCACACTCACACTAGTGCGAGTGGCGCGGCATAAAATACTATAGAACTCATAATCAGTGATGCTGTCTACACCATATACGTATATATCTAGCTCGGCTAATGTCCGTCCTGTGCACTGAACGCTCTCTCCTCCACATCATGAGTAGACACGCCCCTTACTGCTGATTGGTTACAAGTTTTTGCTATTCGGCCCGAATCAGTTTTCTAAAGCATTTTTGAAAAGTCGCTTACCCCACCTTTAACCTTTGTCTTTTTGTCCGATTTTTAGGGCTGGGTATCGAGTTCGATGTTTTTTAGGCACCAACTGAATTGCCTCGATACCACAGAGTATCAAAAAATGACTTGTCATTCGGTACCAAATTTCGATACCTATAGGGTTAATCTCATTAACATCAGTGAGCCAATAAGCATGCAGCATGCTTGATGTTCCTAAATCAAGTGCTGGTGATTGGCTCATGCATCATGGAAAACACGTATAACGTGACCATTCATGCACACTTGTAGCATCATGCTACATAAGACAATTTATAGGATTTATACTACGCTTTTACTCTGTACTCTCTTTAAACCACCACTGAGTGTTTGTAATAACTTACGATT